ATCATACCTTGATTTATTTTGAATGATTTCTCATTTTGTCTTCAGTTCAGATGAACGAACATTTCACTGCTTAAAGCTTCTGAAGTCTTTTTTTCACATCGCCTTGATAAAATTGAACAATTGCGTTTAAATAAACTCAAACCAACTGGAAAGAATGTGGAGTTTTAGGACACTATAACAAATCAGCCTTAGTTTACTGCTTAGAAGTTTTTCTTGTTAGATCCTTTTGTCAAATCCTAAAATGTGCTTCATGTGGTAAAGTGTGTGTGATTGATTTACTGAATAGAAATCCTGTTTTCACTCTTCTAGAACATTTTGTTTTGTCTTCGTCTGAGACTGTGACGGCTCTTTCCAACCATATTTAAAACAGGATTCCCACCAATTCTTTTGTTATGCTCAGCCCTAAAATATTTAATTGGCTGGATATTGCTCTTTTGTTCAGTAAAACGTCCTCAAGTCATTATGATGTGTGATTTGAGCAAATCCTTCTTCTGAGCTGGTTATTTTAAATGAATTGTTCAAATGATTCACAAATTGGTCACATTAATGAATCCTTCTTAATTCAAAAGAAATTGATTTTTTAAAATGCTGATCTAGTCATTGCAAAAGACTGGAAAGGTCTTAAAGTTCAAAAAGTGTGTATTTATTTCCAGCTGTTGTCAAACAACTGTCATATAATGTCATATTATACCTTTTTAATTTTTTTGGTAATGTATTGTTTGTATTATTTAAATAATGTATCATTGTTTTTTACATAACAATGAACTACTTAAAAGTTTTGTGTCTTGACACAATTAACATAACATATTATTTTTGTAATATATTGAATGAATTATTTAAACAATATATTTGACTTTAAAATGGGCTGCTTTAAAAGTTGTTCACAATGGTGAGGACTAATGAATGATTTATATATATATATATATATATATATATATATATATATATATATATATATATATATATATATATATATATATATATATATATATATATATATATATATATATATATATATATATATATATATATATATATATATATATATATATATATATATATATATATATATATATATATATATATATATATATATATATATATATATATATATATATATATATATATATATATATATATATATATATATATATATATATATATATATATATATATATATATATATATATATATATATATATATATATATATATATATATATATATATATATATATATATATATATATATATATATATATATATATATATATATATATATATATATATATATATATATATATATATATATATATATATATATATATATATATATATATATATATATATATATATATATATATATATATATATATATATATATATATATATATATATATATATATATATATATATATATATATATATATATATATATATATATATATATATATATATATATATATATATATATATATATATATATATATATATATATATATATATATATATATATATATATATATATATATATATATATATATATATATATATATATATATATATATATATATATATATATATATATATATATATATATATATATATATATATATATATATATATATATATATATATATATATATATATATATATATATATATATATATATATATATATATATATATATATATATATATATATATATATATATATATATATATATATATATATATATATATATATATATATATATATATATATATATATATATATATATATATATATATATATATATATATATATATATATATATATATATATATATATATATATATATATATATATATATATATATATATATATATATATATATATATATATATATATATATATATATATATATATATATATATATATATATATATATATATATATATATATATATATATATATATATATATATATATATATATATATATATATATATATATATATATATATATATATATATATATATATATATATATATATATATATATATATATATATATATATATATATATATATATATATATATATATATATATATATATATATATATATATATATATATATATATATATATATATATATATATATATATATATATATATATATATATATATATATATATATATATATATATATATATATATATATATATATATATATATATATATATATATATATATATATATATATATATATATATATATATATATATATATATATATATATATATATATATATATATATATATATATATATATATATATATATATATATATATATATATATATATATATATATATATATATATATATATATATATATATATATATATATATATATATATATATATATATATATATATATATATATATATATATATATATATATATATATATATATATATATATATATATATATATATATATATATATATATATATATATATATATATATATATATATATATATATATATATATATATATATATATATATATATATATATATATATATATATATATATATATATATATATATATATATATATATATATATATATATATATATATATATATATATATATATATATATATATATATATATATATATATATATATATATATATATATATATATATATATATATATATATATATATATATATATATATATATATATATATATATATATATATATATATATATATATATATATATATATATATATATATATATATATATATATATATATATATATATATATATATATATATATATATATATATATATATATATATATATATATATATATATATATATATATATATATATATATATATATATATATATATATATATATATATATATATATATATATATATATATATATATATATATATATATATATATATATATATATATATATATATATATATATATATATATATATATATATATATATATATATATATATATATATATATATATATATATATATATATATATATATATATATATATATATATATATATATATATATATATATATATATATATATATATATATATATATATATATATATATATATATATATATATATATATATATATATATATATATATATATATATATATATATATATATATATATATATATATATATATATATATATATATATATATATATATATATATATATATATATATATATATATATATATATATATATATATATATATATATATATATATATATATATATATATATATATATATATATATATATATATATATATATATATATATATATATATATATATATATATATATATATATATATATATATATATATATATATATATATATATATATATATATATATATATATATATATATATATATATATATATATATATATATATATATATATATATATATATATATATATATATATATATATATATATATATATATATATATATATATATATATATATATATATATATATATATATATATATATATATATATATATATATATATATATATATATATATATATATATATATATATATATATATATATATATATATATATATATATATATATATATATATATATATATATATATATATATATATATATATATATATATATATATATATATATATATATATATATATATATATATATATATATATATATATATATATATATATATATATATATATATATATATATATATATATATATATATATATATATATATATATATATATATATATATATATATATATATATATATATATATATATATATATATATATATATATATATATATATATATATATATATATATATATATATATATATATATATATATATATATATATATATATATATATATATATATATATATATATATATATATATATATATATATATATATATATATATATATATATATATATATATATATATATATATATATATATATATATATATATATATATATATATATATATATATATATATATATATATATATATATATATATATATATATATATATATATATATATATATATATATATATATATATATATATATATATATATATATATATATATATATATATATATATATATATATATATATATATATATATATATATATATATATATATATATATATATATATATATATATATATATATATATATATATATATATATATATATATATATATATATATATATATATATATATATATATATATATATATATATATATATATATATATATATATATATATATATATATATATATATATATATATATATATATATATATATATATATATATATATATATATATATATATATATATATATATATATATATATATATATATATATATATATATATATATATATATATATATATATATATATATATATATATATATATATATATATATATATATATATATATATATATATATATATATATATATATATAATCATTAATTTAATTGAACTTTAGAGTGGAAGGTAACCGGGACATGCTGTTGACAATTTAAATAATATATTATACTTTATACTATATACTTTATATTATATTCACTCATATTATTTAGGCCTAATTTTAATGTATTTAAAAATACATCAGCCCGGACATGACTGGCGTTATATAGTGTGAGAATATTTATGGTTCTGTACTATATGGGAATGTGTCAAGGCTGATCTTCACGTAAAGCAGACTTTAGGAGGGGTGTTTTCTCTAGGGTCCGTGGGTGGGTGGGCGGAGGGTTTGTCTGTATGTACTCTAAACTAAAGGACTGAACTGAGCTGCTGAACACCGGTGGGTTTGGCTCCGCGCGCGTTACGCGCCGTGACTGAAATCTGAGGCGGGTTTAAAAGGCGTTGAGCAGAGCCACAGACAGACGAGGAGAGACATTTGGAGATCTGGGTTGCACAGGCATTAGATATTCATTACAAATCGACAGCTACTTGTTTGGAGACGCTTTTTAGCCAAAGCAACTCCAAATGTCTCCTTGAATAAGTCTGGGTCAAGGGCAAAATGGAGATAGTTTATCATTCAACCCTTGTGGGATTTAAATCTCCATCATTTTGGTTACTACCACAGATATTTAACCACTAGGTTTCATCTGCAGCGTAGCGGAGCAGCGCGCAACGGGACACCGGCGTTTCCATTTACGCACGTCGTTCGCCCGCGTTTTAACGCGTTGGACTCCTGTTATTGTTGACGAATCTTGCAATGGGACACCTGAGCAACGCATCGCACCCGGTCAACTCCACCGACCCGTTCGGACGCGACGAAGAAGTCGCGAAAATCGAGATCGCGGTCCTCAGCGTCACCTTCGCGGTCGCCGTGATCGGGAACTGCAGCGTCCTGGTGGCCATCCACAACACCAAGAAGAAAACCTCCCGCATGCATCTGTTCATCAAACACCTGAGCCTGGCAGACCTAGTGGTCGCGTTTTTCCAAGTCCTTCCACAGCTGTGCTGGAAAATAACCTTCCGTTTCTACGGACCGGACTTTCTGTGCAGGATCGTCAAGCACCTGCAGGTGATGGGCATGTTCGCGTCCACTTACATGATGGTTATGATGACTCTAGATCGCTATATCGCCATCTGCCACCCTCTCAAGACCCTCCAGCAGTCCACCCGGAGGTCCCACATCATGATCGCAGGCACGTGGGTCAGCAGTTTGCTCCTCAGCACCCCTCAGTACTTCATCTTCTCCCTCAGTGAGATTCAGAACGGCTCTGAGGTTTACGACTGCTGGGGTCACTTCATCCAGCCCTGGGGACTCCGCGCCTACATCACCTGGATCACAGCGGGGATTTTCCTCATCCCGGTGATCATATTAATGACCAGCTACGGATTCATATGCCACAGCATCAGGATGAACATCAGATACAAGACCAAGAAGACGCCGGCGGATGGCGCGCACAAGAACGGGCTGATCGGGAAGAACTCTGTGAGCAGCGTCACCACGATCTCCAGAGCGAAGTTACGCACCGTCAAGATGACTTTCGTCATTGTTCTCGCGTATATCATCTGCTGGGCGCCGTTTTTCACCGTGCAGATGTGGTCGGTGTGGGACAAGAACTTCAGCTGGGATGGTGAGTGAAAATGAGGGAAAGATTCACGTGCATGCCATGAAATTATGATTCAGGTATTAAATGTGCACATAGTAACACTTTTGAAATAGCCTTATCATTTAAATAAGATGTAGTAATTGCATAGTTAACTAACATTATATGATCATATTTAATGCTTAACATATTATTGTACACTAAAAATCTACATTTTCATATATTTCATACATATTCATATTTTTAATGTGTTTTAAATGTGCACACTGCATTTTATATATAAATCTCTTTGGACACTTTATAGCAAGTTTCATTTAATTATAGGCTATCATTAAGATAAATTATGTTTGTATAATGATTAGCAGTCTAATGCATATTCAAAGAAAATGTAATGTACTTTTGTCATATATTTCATGCATATTAATATTTGCTGTATTAAATATGCTGTGTAGCGCTTCATAATACTTCCATTTAATTTAAATATTTCATTATATCATTAACAAAAATGATGTTGTGTAATGCTTAAGAGATTAAGGTACATTAATCCATTTCAAGCATATGTAAATAAGTGTTCAATATATGCCGAGCAACATAAATATCATTAAATATGTTAGGTAGTACAATTTAAGATTTAAAATGTCATGCACTTCATTCATATTTCATATTTGCATTTATGTATTAACGTCGGATTGCACACTGTGCAAAGTAAAAATATGCGCAGGTTTCTTATTTCTACCTGATCGGACCCTAAAAATACTGTAATTTCTGTAATCAGGTTGATCTGGTCAATTTTTATTATTCAAATTATTTATCAAATGTAAATATAAAACCGATTGTAATCATGGGGCATCAATGTGGTAACAACATCTAAAATATCAATTGTCCCCTATACATTGATTTTTATACTGAATTGTTTATTAAATGTGCAAATACTTTATTGTATTGTATGTGTAATGAAATGGGTTTATATGATACCAGCATGCTCAGGATGTTTATTGGACGCTTTCAAAAGCACAGCAGCTTTGTTTAAATTTAAAACGCAACAAATGGCTGCAGAAGTGCTAACGTGTTAAATATAGTCTCTCTGATATAAAGATCATTTGAGAAATGAAGTCATGAGACCAGAATAGTGTGTCTAAACAGAACAGCTGCAGATTTAGGATGTGAAAATCTTCCATTAAAATTCCACACGAGCTTATGGGATGTTTAGTTAACCCAATTTCACCTCATTTTCACATGGTTACAAGACAAATTACTTTAATCAAAACAAATGGATTATTAGTTTAGTCATATATTATTTTACGCTAATATCTGGCAACACAGAAGGCTTAACACCTTGTTCAGAATGAATGAAAACCCAAATAAATTTGAAAAATCTTTTTTTTTTAAATTTAATCTGTAATTTTTATTGATAATTGTATCTGTATAAATAAATATGGATATCTATTGTCCTCTTTTTGCTGAAAAAAGACACCATTGTTTTTATAAAACATATTGTTCTGTATCTGGATGCTGATTAGCCGATACAGTGACTGTTGATTCTAAGACGCGTGTTGTGAAATTTTGACAATGTTTTTGCTTATCGATATGATGCTTGGCAAACTAGAAAAAAAAAATAGTGATGTTTATTTATGCTAATATCTGGCAACACTCATGCATAATAACTGGTTAAAAATGACCAAAAAAAACAAGTAAATGAGAAGAAAACGTTATGTATATTTTAAAACTTTTGAATCTATATTTTATATGGATTATTTTATCTGTATAAATAAATCTGGATATCTCTTTGACTCTTTTGGATTAAAAAATGACACTATGTAATATACTTATTATTACACAGTTACATAATTATAGTTCTGGTTCTGGATGCTGATTGGCCGATGCAGTGACTCTAGATTCTGATTGGATGACGCATGTTCTGAGCTGTTGATCAAATGTTACATTCTATACGGTATTTATCTGTAAATTTAAGTTAAAACCGTAAAACCTAAAACGTTGCTACCGTATTTTTTACGGTAAAATTCCGGCAACCACAGCTGCCGTTTTTTTACCATAAATTTTACGGAATTTTTTTTACAGTGTATGCTTGGCAAACTAAAAAGAAAGAAAGAATTATTAGTGTATTATATATAAATAAGAAATAATAGGCATAACACCTGGTTAAAAATGAATAAAACCCAACTAAAAAAGTTTATATGTTTCTTATACTTCTTTTTTTTTTATGATACTTTTATCTGTATAAATAAGTCTGAAGATCTACACTGAAAAAAATGATTCATTGAATTTACTAAATTGTTTTAAGGTGAGTGGTTGCAATGAATTTATTTTAGCTACATTTAAATAAACAAATTTATTTGACTAACTGTCAACATATTTGTTTTTATTAAATGTAGCTAAAATAAATTGTTTGCGACCACTTATCTTAAAAAAATTTAGTAGCATTTTTTTTAGTGTAGTTTGGAGAAAAATTACAATATAATATTCTTTTTATAAACATCTTTTTAAAAATTCATTTATATTTATAAACTATATCTTTTTAGTGTTTATAAACTATAAACATATAGTTCCGGTCCTGGATGCTGATTGGCTGATACAGTGACTGTAGATTCTGATTGGATGACGAATGTTCTAAGCTGTTGATAAACTGTTACAATCTATGTTAATCATTGTTGCTGTGTTGCTTTGCTACCGTAAACAGCCAACAGTGAGACACAGGAACTGTGTTGTGGAAAGAATTATTTATTGGACTATTTATTGGAGAGTATCTTTATTTCAAGCATTTACAGTCATTGTTTATGTGTCTGTGTGCGTCTAGATTCGGAGAACACGGCCGTCACTCTGTCTGCGCTGCTGGCCAGTCTGAACAGCTGCTGTAACCCGTGGATCTACATGGTTTTCAGCGGACACCTCCTGCAGGATTTCGTTCACTGCTTCCCCTGCTGCCACAAGATCCAGCAGAGCTTCCAGAAGGAGGATTCGGACAGCAGCCTACGGAGAACCACGCTGCTCACCAAGATCGCCAACCGCAGCCCCACGTGTAGCTCAGGCACCTGGAAAGAGTTCGATCACTCGCCCAAAACCAGCAGGTCGGCTCCGACCGAGACGTGACGCAGGCGGCCCCTGGGAATGTGACTTTATTGATCCGCACTTTGGTGAGACTCTCACAGCAGGGCTTTAAAACTCCAGGCTTTGGATGCTGATTGAGCTCCAGATGAGATAAAGCACACTATTACTGCTCAGGAGATGCGATGGAGTTCATTCTGTTTCGTTTAAGCATGGACTCGATTGAGTCACTTGTAATCATCCAGTAAGAGTCTGGAGCTGTGAAATGAATGCGCATAGCGGCTTTGATGAGAAATGATTGAGTTCATATGGAGATCTGAGCACAGTTTGAGACATTGTTGAGATCTCTTTTGGGACTTTGGAGCTCCTCGCTACTTCAGCTGGAATCTCCATTTGATAGTCTCATTGCTGTCGGAGATTCAGTCTTCTTGCTGAAGAACAGATTTTTAAATACAATTATGTTAATAAAAGTTATAAGGACATGTGCCAAACATTTGGAATAATATTTCATATAAAAAAAATTCTAAATGCTCACCAAAGCTGCATTTATTTGATTTAAAAAATGCAGTAAAAACAGTAAAATTGTAAAACATTATTACAATTTAAAATAACTGTTTTCTATGTGAATATATCGTAAAATGTAATTTATTCCTGTGATCAAAGCTGAATTTTCAGCATCTTTACTCCAGTCTTTAGTGTCACATGATCTTCAGAAATCATTCTGATTTGCTGCTCAAGAAATGTTTCTGGTTATTATCAATGTTCAAAACAGTTCATCTGCTTCATATTTTTGTGGAAAGTGTGGCACTGCTATTTTTAGCCAAAATGAATGCTTTTATTCAGCAAGGGCGAATTAAATTGATCAAAAGTGACAGTAAAGTAATTTATGTGACAAAACATATCTATTTCAAATAATTGCTCTTCTTATTTTTTTTTTAAATCCTGAAAAAAATGTATCATGGTTTTCACAAAATATTTTTTCATCATATAATAATCAGAAATGTTTCTTGAGCATCAAATCAGCATATTAGAATGATTTCTGAAGATCATGTGACACTGAAGACTGGAGTAATGATGCTGAAAATTCAGCTGCGCATCACAGGAATAAATTACATTTTAACAGAAAACGGTTATTTAAAATTGTAATAATATTTCACTTTTTTGATCAAATAAATGCAGTCCCGGTGAGCAAAAGAAAAACACTTTTACTTTAAAAAAAAAAAAATCCCAAACTTTTTTCTGTAGTGCACTTTTAAAAAATATGTCGTGATTTTTTTTTATTTTTTTTTTTTTATGTATAAACATTTTACAAAAGGCACTTGAGGTTATGTAGTATTACGAATTGATTCACGCCGCCGTATGTCATGCTTTACAATCTCTCGTCTCGTGTTGCTCATGTAGATCAATTGTCCATTAAGGAAACAGTGGGAACATGGAAAGCGCCGTAAATCTCTTTGAACAGTGACAGTAAAGACATTTATGTGACAAAACATATCTATTTCAAATAATTGCTCTTCTTATTTTTTTTTTAAATCCTGAAAAAAATGTATCATGGTTTTCACAAAATATGTTTTCATCATATAATAATCAGAAATGTTTCTTGAGCAGCAAATCAGCATATTAGAATGATTTCTGAAGATCATGTGACACTGAAGACTGGAGTAATGATGCTGAAAATTCAGCTGCGCATCACAGGAATAAATTACATTTTAACAGAAAACGGGTTATTTTAAATTGTAATAATATTTCACTTTTTTGATCAAATAAATGCAGTCTCGTTGAGCAAAAAAAAAACACTTTTACTTAAAAAAAAAAAAAAAAAAACTTTTTTCTGTAGTGTACTTTAAAAAAATATGTCGTGATTTTTAAAAAAAAATTTTTTTATGTAGAAACATTTTACAAAAGGCACTTGAGGTTATGTAGTATTACGAATTGATTCACGCCGCCGTATGTCATGCTTTACAATCTCTCGTCTCGTGTTGCTCATGTAGATCAATTGTCCATTAAGGAAACAGTGGGAACATGGAAAGCGCCGTAAATCTCTTTAGGGACTGTGGCACAATGAGTCCAGCGAGGCATTTCCCGCGATAAGCGTCTACTTAAGCCCGGCGCTGGATTTATTTTGGCCCCGAGTGCTCCAAAGTAAACCAGACACCTGCTGCTGATCGCTGTAAGCAAAATATATCAGTTTCCAGACAATAAATGAATGCTGCACTAAATAAAACATAGGAAACGCTCTGCTTTATGAAATATTAGCCTCACTTTGGTGGCATGAAACCTACCGGGCATGAGATTTGTCGTATAAATGAATGTTTTCACATGGCCAAGCATGTCTTTACTGGTCATTTGTCAGGTTTGGACTCTTTTCAGGTCTTTTAATGTACATATACTGAGAAATTCTAACAGTTCAGGCTGTTTATGTATAAATGAAAGTTGTAAATAAATGGTCTATATTTGTTTGTATGTGTTAAGGTTTTTTTTTTAAAGACAATAGTGATATGTTAAGCTATAGAAGCCCGTTTCTGCCATGGAATAAAAAAAATAAACAGGCAGTTGTGACTTTTTCTTGCACAGTTCACACTTTTCTTCTCACACTTCTGAGAATCGTGAGATGTAAACGCGCAATTCAGTTTTTTTCCCTCATAATTCTACATTTGTTATCTCCCAGTTCTGAGTTTTTTCTCGGAATTCTGAGTTTATATCTTGAAATTCTGACTTTTTTCTCGGAATTCTGACTTTTTCTCGCAATTCCAAGTTTGTTTTTCACAATTATGACTTTTTTACTCAGAATTCTGCGTTTATATCTCACAATTCTGAGTTTATATCTCATTGTTCTGACTTTTTTCTCAGAATTCTCACTTTTTTCTTGCAACTCCACGTTTATTTCACACAATTCAAATTTTTTTTTCTCAGAATTCTGCGTTCACATCTCACAATTATGACTTTTTTCTCACAATTCTCCATTTATAACTCACAATTATGACTTTATTCCTCAAAATTCTGAGTTTTATATCTCACAATTCTTCAAGTTTATATCCTGAATAGTTTTTTCTCTGAATTCTGACATTTTTCTTGAAATTCTGCGTTTATGTCTCACAATTGTGACTCTTTTTCTCAGAATTCTGAGTTTATATCTTATATCTTAGGACTTTTTTGTTTCCACAAAGGAATAAAAAAATGTAAAAGATAATGGCGTTTATATCTCGCAGTTTATATCTTGCAAAACGTTTTTTTTTTTTTCAGAATTTAAAATTTTACAATTTTAAGATTTAACCTTAAAAAGTCCAATTTTGACATAAAAAGTCGCAACTACCTTATTATTTTTTTAATTCCCCTGGCAGAAATGGGCTTCCAGACTCAGCATTGTTCACTGCCAACTTTAAATGTGTTGCACCTCTCACAAATGCCTCGGTGTACTTGTATTCCAAATCCAATAAATCAAACCTTCATGAAATATTAGTTCTGGATCTGTGGTGACAAATGTGTTTTTAGCAACCGAGCCGTTTCTAGCACTGTCTGCCATTTAAATGCAACTTTATATAATATTGTTTGGAACAACTTTACAAGTAGCCTGACTGAAATGCTTTGGGAAAGCAACTAACCAGCTGTCTAACCAATAGATCTTGATCCAGTCTTGGTAGTTTAGTGAAAGATCGAGTGTGTTCCATTAGCAGCACTAAACAAAAAGCAAAAAGTGGACTAATGATTCTGTTTCTTCTCTGCACTTCATCACAAGTTGCACAATGCAAATTGCCTAGTAGGATCGTTTCCAAACATCCCATAATAGCTTGAGAGTTTCCTGTTTGTTTCCTGTTTGAGGACACACGTCCTCTCCTGCATTAACCAACCTTCTCCTCTCCAGTCTATGAGTCCAGAGACGAAACAGCTGCGGTTTGCATACATATGTGTGTGAGTGTGTGTGTGTGTGTGTGTGTGTGTGAGAGAGAGAGAGAGAAAGACTTACAGTCTCCAAAGTTTCTCACATCAGACTCACATGTTTATTAACGTTTTCTCTTGCCACCTTTGACCGTAATGTATTCCAGGCACAGCCGTGAACCAGGAACGCCAACAGAACAAATTATGCCGGATCGTGCTATACATGTAAATGATCTAAGTTGTTGTGTTTCTGAGGGATGTTACGATGTTGAAGAGATGTGATGTGAAAACCAAGAACACATTGTGTTTTCGCAATCGCTTCCATGAAATCCTCCCTGCTGAAAAATAACAACAGCCTAAAACAACCAGGTTTGGTGGTCTTAGCTGGTTTAAACTGGTTTCCTTTGTTGTGCACAGCCAGCATAAACTCTGGTCCTCATTGCAGGTTATTCTGTTCAGTGTTATTTTGGTCTTATTTATATACTATTATGGTATATATTCACATTTTGAAAATAGTTTTATCGTTTTTTTATTTTATTAGTGTTTTTTATTTAGCTTTATTTTTATTTCAGTTTTAGTAATTTTAGTACTTATTTTATTTCAGTTAGTTGTCAAGGCAACATTTAATTTCATTTAAGTTTTTTTAAGTTTACATTTTCATCTAATATTTATATTTTATTTTATTTTGAAATGGCTTTTATTTGTATATTTTCGGTTAGCTTTAACTTATTTTGATTTCAGTTTTAGTTTTAGTTTTAGTACTTATTTCAGTTAGGTGGCAAGGCAATATTTCTAATTGTATTTTTTTAATTTTTTTTTACATTTTTCATCTAGTATTTATATTTTTTTATTTCACCTTTGAGTAAAGAAAAACATTTTTAATAGTTTTTAGTAGCTTAGTTTACAATAACAACATTGATTCTGTCCAGTTATCTGTTGCTACATGGCAGTTTTATCCTTAATAATAATCAATTTTCATTTTTGGCACCTTTAACATCCATGGAAACGTTCCATTGTATAAAGGTTCTTTGTAGTGGAAATAGATTCTTTAGGTTAGTAAAAAGTTCTTCACGCTAAGAAAAAAAAAAGGTTATTTTAGGAACTGTTTGCTGAAAGTTTCTTTTGGGGAAACCAAATTGATTCTTTTATGGCATCGCTGCAAAGAAAATCCCCCTTTTTAGACCTTTATTTCTAAGAGTGTGAAATAGATTTCAGAAATATTCCCGCAGGTTGGAAAAATTCTGTGCATCTAAAAGACAGATCAATATGAATATGTATTTTACTTATATGTACATCTCAAACAAAACCCTCAATATCGTTCAAACATTTGATGCCACTAACTTGGAAAACTTTGGCAAATCCAGTCATTTGTTTTCCTCTAAAGTGTTTATTGTATCAGCCTCGTACCAGGCAGTCCGATAACAAAACCTGCCAGAAGTTGAGTAAAGCCAGTCAGATTAGAGCTTGCCAAATCCAAAAAGTACTTTCCAGTTTAGCTGTTTAGTTACAGGACTGTGAGACTGAAACCAACATGCATCCATAACCCATCTGAAACCATCAATCCTCACAGTGGAAACCAGCGAGCTGCCTGAGTCCGGT